ACTCTTAAACCCCGAGCACTGCGTCACTTTACCTCCTATAATAACATAATTGTTTCACACACTAAAGTTATTTTTGCGATCGGCCATGCTTCAATAAAAAGTGAGAGAGATGTGTATAAACCAAATTATTTCTGGGGGATTTTCAATTAATATTTTACATCTCTCCTCACTCACAATTCCATTACTCTTTTCAACTACTATGATTATCGACATAACGACAAACTAGCTTTTCCTTTCAACCGAATATAAAAAAGTAACTCAATCAACGTGCTTCACTATGTGGAAGCTATGACCAACCCAGTTCAATTATTTTATCCGCCACACATATACCGCGTACTACGGACAAAGGTGTGACTACAAAAAGCTGGAACAAACGCCTTTTTTTCTGTTCACAGATATATACCTATATATATATATATATATATATATATATATATATATATACAACATGTCTACTAAATTGAAACTTCCATTACCCTGCATGAAACATCAAAAGATATAAAACAGCAATGCGGTATAAATCGATTCATTATATGCCCTGCCTCATACGTACGGCTGGGCAGAGTGGTATACGGGGAAACCTATTACTACATGCATCAGGAGACGAAACATTTGAACATCGCCACGCGTCATAGAGAATAAACTAATAACGTTTGTACAAAGCAAACCTGGTCTGGCAGACTGCCTGAGTAAACTGGGCTTAAATAATACATGTGGTCATGCGGAAAGCTAACTTAAAGAGGCAGTGACGTGTCGGACCGTTCTGGATTTATTACTCATAACCATAATGTCAAACCACCCACTGGACGTTCAAACTACTTCCTTTTGAATTCACTGGAAAGTGTTGCCTAATGCGGCACACACCTTTAATAGAAACTGTAATTAGAATGCAACCAAGTGCCATATATACGGATGGCTAATCATTATAAGCATAATATATTTCGTGATATGACATTTATGATTCCGTATATTTGGCAACAAAAACCTGAACTCGTGACAATTTTTTTTTAAAATAACAATTTCGGTCAATTTGGAGTGTGAAATTCATATTTTAGAAGAATGCGGTGTTTGATACGCGCCACGTTTTAATCTTCAGTGAGCGACAGTAATTGGCACTTTTCAGTCGAAAATTCCTCCATTAAAATTCAAGGACGAATTATTCCTTTGCATTGTCCTTTTCTTACATTCATCTATAGTGTGGTGGCAGCACTTGTAAAACAGAACATTCTTCCATCTACCGTCATTATTGAGAACTTAAATCTCTTATTCATGACTCAAAAACAATCATAAACAGTATCCTATTGCACATATGTGTTAAGTTTCAGACAGACACTCCATTAGGTGGTTATATGAGCGTGCCATGAGTATCACAGACCTTCTTGAGAAACGAACAGTCGCCTAAAAGTCACATATCTTTATATTTTCCTCACTTTACCTTATTATGATTCCGATCAACCCATTAAACACGCCAGAGTCCTGTGAAACACTTCATAACCTGCTACTTATTTACGGTCAGAATTTGTTAAACACCCTAGTCGAAAGATAACCATCGGCCTGAGAAAATAAAACTATTATGTTCAGTTTCAAAGCGATTAAATAAATCCAAAAAATATATATATATTCATTTTCCACGTGCAAAGTTTAAAGGTTTGTAAAGATGGTACGAAACAACTCGTATAATTTCTCAGTCCTGAAGAAGGCAGATGCAGTACGAGGTTCTGGGTAGGATTTTGTCCGAGAGGTTGTTCGCTCAAAGAAAGAAAGCAGAACCAACTTCAAAAACGTAACATTTTTAAAACATTTTTTGAAGTGTATAACTTCAATAGAGTAATTACACACATTATAATTTCCAAGTGGAATCTTTACCGTTAGCCAAGATTTTCGAAGTAGAACGAACGGTCTGTTGGCCGATGAGCCTGTTCCCGACGTTTCCTGTCTGAAGAAAGAAAGCAGAACCAACTTTAAAAAACGTAACATTTTTAAAACATTTTTTGAAGTGTATAACTTCAATAGAGTAATTACACACATTATAATTTCCAAGTGGAATCTTTACCGTTAGCCAAGATTTTCGAAGTAGAACGAACGGTCTGTTGGCCGATGAGCCTGTTCCCGACGTTTCCTGTCTATGGCAGCTTGGCGAGAATCCGTCCGGTGGGTCGGCATGTTTCCCAGGAGAGCCACACAACAAATGCGAACACTTGGAAACCTACCAACCGGCTATATCAAGCACATGTAACACCTTAATTCCAACCCTCTGAATATCGTTTGCGAATAGAGGACCAAGTAACGAAGTAAACGGGTTTATTAAAGATATACTGCGAATTTAGAAACAGAAATTGACTTATACTTTATAATACTGTCAAAATAAACAGCAATTATTTCCCTAAAAATCATTATCCCACTGATTTCTGTTATGGAGACGCGCTGTTCTCTTTGAGGCAGGAACTCAATTTTAAAATATAGTTTAGATGAACTGGACGTTTTGTCTTAAAATACGAGATTTTTTTGGCGAATCAAACCCTTGAATACATGTAATTAATCTCGAATCTCACCTATGTTTAGTCTTGTTACCTTCACTGAATTGCGGTTCCCCCAACGCCTGCGATGTAAATACCTACTGCCCGCTACACAACCAAGTCGGAGAAGTTGCCGCATAACTACGGCGCACTGCATCTCAGACACGGAGAGCGATGTTTCTTTCAGAGTTCTGTGCGTTCTGTTTAAAATTAATAGACAAGAAACCTTGGTTCCTAGGTCATTAAACGTCTTTATATCAACTACTGGCTTTATGTGGTGGAAAACGTTGATTTGTAACTCAGTTGAAATATATGGGCAGATACCAACGTTTCGAAGGAATATGCTACTTCCGTCTTCAGGGTTGAATTTATGTTTAAGAAATTATTACGGAACTGACGGATGTATTGCGAACAAATACATTTCTGGAACATTAGTTTTGTTCTGTCCTGTGTTTCGTGAAATGTGTGACCGACAAGTTGGATATGCGTTTCATTTTTAATTATCTACATCCCACATACAGATAATTACCCGGAAATGGGTGGATATTCAGTACATAAGCCGACCACAGGTTACCCTCAGCCACGTCTCCATGACGACGTACGCCCATTACTTCCATAACCTATGTCAATTTTTTTTTCTCGATTTTACAGTAATGTTGATGTTATGTATCTTAAATAAGATGTGAAATCGATTATAACCGTCAGTATGAAAATGTCGCCCTGTTATTAGTCTGGAATCACCTAATAAACAAAGTACCAGAATAGTTTAGTTACAGAACCTTCCATCAAAACGAAGTCTGGAATTTTGAACTTCAAGTGATAACTGTGGCTAACTCCATACATCAAACAGTTCATCAATACTTCGTAAGCTGCTTGTAATATTTTTTACTACAAAGTTAATATCAGTCTTTTAGACGACGACGTAATAATAAATTATGTAATTTCGACGAATGTCCGGACATGAGACGGTAGTCGCTTTGGGAGTAATACGGGCGTCTATTCGCGGATGAAAGATGAAGCGACTTCCCACACTCATAGAATGAAACGTGATTTCTGGGAATTATTCTTCTTACATTCTCATCATTCTTTAGTGGCTTGGTACGTTATGTCCTTACTTTTTTCTTTTCAAAGTAGCCGTAATTTATTCAACGACCACCTTATTTTGTAAACCTTAGAGTTAAAGTCATCAGTGATAATTTTGCGACGTAATCTTTTCAGATCTAATATTAAATCTTACAGTCACGTGCCTTTTCATTAAAATTTCTTGATTTATCCGTCGTGTGTGGGAGACGACATCTTACTACCATTGACACATGACGACCTTAACAAATACGACTGTCCCCACGAGCAGATCTGTGATGTTCAGCTTGTACTTTAACCTCTAATCTGTAAGGATCTTTCTCGCCATCGCACTATGACGTGTATAGTTGTCTGCCCCTTCCCTGCAACCCTCTACTTCCCTTCCATGTATGATTTACACTTCACACTTTGTTTGGAATACGAGGGGGTTGGAGGGAGGAAAGCAATGCATTTGGGTAGGGTCGATATTGCGGGCTCGCAGATTGGAGGCTTGGTAACAGGTGTTGGCAGATACGGGGGATCGATTGGACCAAGTGAGAAGCGAGTCTCCTGGTTATGACGCGGCCCTTTGCGCAAGCGTCGGTTGCAGGACCGTCGCCGCCATGAGCCTAGCATGAACGTGAAGGCACCCCGCCCGAGCGAGCGAGTGACAACGTCCAAGTCGGTGCAATGGGCGAGGGGTAAGCGACCAACGCTCCGTGGGTCTGGCTGGTAAGGAGTGTTTGTGATACAACCCGAGACTTTTCATCTTCCCCTTCGTTGCGTGTGAATTCTGTTCCGACAAATGGATTCTTCGCGGCATCTGTTATTCCGACTGATGACGGGTCTCTGTGGCGAGTACGTGCGGTGAGGATCGTAGACCCTGCATGGCTACCGTGTTAAAATAACAGCATCTGTGACTGAGATTCAAGATACAGCTGGATTGATGGCGGTAATCAAAGACTGATAACTCGGCAATGAACATTTGACTGCAGCGATACTGAATACCGATATTAAACCTATCCCGAGTCAGTGAATCCGATCCGAAACCAACCACAAACCAGAAACAAAAGTGTAAAAACGCAAATACGCCGTCCTGTCCCATACCACAACAGAAGAAGAAGAAGAAGAAGAATAAAACATATTTCTGGCCTTACTGGAGCATCTATTTTCTACTTGAAAGTCAACCTATGTGTTTCATCGGTGTCACCGTGTGTTCGACAAGTGTTCTGTCGGACGAACCAATTGTTGCTTCAGGGAGTTGTCGGATTCCTGGCTAAAGATTCGCGCCGCGCCGTGGCACTAACAGGTGGCTGCGACATACAGCTCGTTCCCC